TGGTCAAAGTTCAGTTGACTTCTCCTAAGGAAACCCTAATTTGACAATTCTTGACTTTTGATGATTTGAGAGCTTTTCTTGGGGAGTCATGATCAACCCTTGATCAAATAATAAATATCACTTTAAAATATCGACGTTGACCAAAAATCTTGAAGTTTGACTATATGTTGACTATAGTTGACTTTTTGACCAATACAATTGATTTTCAATCATTTGAATCATTGACTGAGCAAACTTGTGATGTAGGACTTGAAACTTGACATGAACCTTATTGAGGGCCTATGGAGAATCATGAAAGCCACTTGAGACCTTTGCAAACCAAATTTCCTTGAGAAACTCAAAACCCTAGTTGTAGGCTCTTGACTTAGGAGGAGCATTTGACTGGTCATCTCTTGAGATTCTTGAGTATTTGAGGAGCCTTGAAAGAATGTCTTGAAGAAAATGTAAGGACAAATTTTGGGGTACAACATGATGCTTAAGATTTGATATGATTATATCTATAATTCAGATGAACATAAACAACATTAAATACATAAACAAAAAAAAAACAATTTATTTAATTACAAAATTCGTTACTACATATTATTCAAAAACCTCTACTAATAAACCAAGCTAAGACTAGTAATGGTAAGACGATAATTATTATCAAAGCTACAAAATCACTACCTAGTTCTTCACATTTGATAACATTGATAATAAACAAAATAATCACAAGTACAATGATAAACAAAAAAGAATTTTAGCCATTAGAAAAAAATGGCTAGAACTTTTGAGAATGATGTGAAAATTATGGAAGAAGTTAAAATATTTATAGAGGTTATTTTTGAAGAAAAAAATAGCCGTTATATTATCGTTAGGGAAAGGGAAAAGGTTAAGTGTGAAAAAAATATTATCTAGCTAAAATTTAAGTGTGTAAAAAAATAATTATATGGTCGTTATAAGTGTTGGAGGTGATTATCAGATAACATATAAGACAAAAGAACATATATGATAAATATTAAAATATACATATGAGGTTTTAGGCCTCCATTAATTATAAAAGCTAGTAACAACATGAGATTTTAAACCTCCACTAAATATAAAAGCGAGTAACAACATGGAGTTTTAAACCTCCACTAAATATAAAATTTAGTAACAACATGGGGTTTTAAACCTCCCCTAAATATAAAATTTAGTAACATCATATGGGAGTTTTAAACCTCCACACAAAATATATAATAAAAATAGCTTTACTTATTATAGAGCACTTGACGAATTTCCAGTTTTCTATAACAAGAAGTAAAGTAATAATAACAATAATAGTAACTCTAGTTATAAATCACTTGATTGGTTGTCAGTTTTCTATAACCGAAGTAAATAATAATAATAATAATAATAATAATAATAATAATAATAATAATAATAATAATAATAATAATAATAATAATAATAATAATAATAATAATAATAATAATAATAATAATAATAATAATAGTAATAGTCACTCTAGTTATAAATCACTTGAGTGGTTGTCAGTTTTCTATAGTCGGGACAAATGATAATAATAACAGTAATAACCACTCTAGTTATAAATCACTTGACTGGTTGTTAATTTTCTATAACCGGGAAAACTAATAGTAATAACAATACTAATAGGATTAAAGTAATAAGTATAGAATATATACCTAGTGTAGTAAAAATTTCTGATAGAAACGATCGTGTTGATAACGTGTTGAGATAAGGCGAATATCTGAACCAAACTAAGTAAATAGAGATATAGAAGAGATTGTGAGAGTGATTTATTTCTTTGAAGGAAATATTGAATTTTTTCATACACCTAAGATATGGTATTTATACTACATAAAATGTAACTATTCATCTAATGAAATAATACATGTAACTATTCTAAGTTAACAAAATTTTATATATAGTAGATATTCACTATTCAAAATATATTTCAAATAGTAAATATAATAATTTATTATTATTATAACAAATTCTAAATTCATTCAAATATAAGTATTTTTAATAAAAGAAAAATAAAATACATTCTCTTTCTTGATAAAACATAACTGACCAAGCAAAAAACATTACTGAAGACCAAGCAAAACTGGGTTAGAGTGAAGTTCTCACGACAAAGTTAAAGAATCGGCTTCCTTAAGTTACCTTAATATATGGTACAACTACTATTATATACTCTCTCTGTCAAAAATTATAAGTCATCTTGCTAAAAAAAATTGTCTCATATTATAAGTCATTTTACAATTTCAATATAATATTAATGACATTTTCTCTAATATACTCTCTCCTATTTATTTCTCTTTCCTCTTTCAATTATCTTAATTTCTCGTTCCTCTATAATTAATGAAAGATAATATTGTAAAGTCAAACATAGTTTATCTTTCTCATACAACATTAATCGTGTTTCTTAATTTGTGATTATGAATGTGAGTCCTAGTTTCAGATTTATGGTGCATTAAGAAAGTCCAAGCATATCTACTAAAGTCATCCACAATAGTCAAAAAATAACCATCTAATGAATGTGCAGCAATAGGCCCCAAATATCCATGTGTAAAAGCTCAAAACAAGCTGTAGTAACAAAATTTCAAGTAGGAAAAGGTTTTCTACATTATTTAGCTAAATGACAAGCATGTCATAACAAATTTTTATGGTATTTGATACAGTAAGTGAAGTTGCCATATGCTGCAAAACCTCACTAGAAAGGTGGCCCAATTTGTTGTATCATATATCCAAATGACTAGAAACATCATTATTCAAACTATTAGTATTACAAGTAAAAGTGTGAATAGGGTGTGTGCAAGTGTCTTTGTGCAGAATGTGTATATTTATATGTTGAACCACTTGATCAATCGTCTTCCGTGTAGACACATTCTGAATATGGCATGATTTATGTGAGAAAGAAATGTGATAGTGATAATTGTGGCATAAGATAGATATAGAAATAAGGCTTAATCGAAACTCTGGAATATACAAAATATTATGCAGAATTGAAGAGGGGTCTAAAATTATAGTCCCTGAGAAATTAGCAGTAATTTTGTTCCCATTAGGGAGTTGAATGTGTATGGGTTTAATTAATTTAATGGCAGAAAAGCACTTTATATAAGGACATACATGGTCAGATGTCCCTGAATCAAGGATCCACATAGAAGATAGGTTAAAATCATTATCTTTGTTCAATATACTTGAAATGGTGTGAGAACTGAGATCTTTGTCAGTAGCAAAATTTTGAGCATTCTTCTTAGACTGTTGTAGGAGAAGAAGCGGATGTTGATAATCTTCTTTCGAGATTACACCATCCTTGTCACCATTGTAAATCTTGGAGTCGGAGGAAGGTTTGTTGTTCTTGGTGCGATACTCAGGGGGAAACCATATTTGAAGTAACAGGAATCCCCGTGTGACTTGTTTTGTTACAATGAGTGCACAGCATGGAACCTTTATGAGGAGTTTTCCCTCTTCCGAGGCCATTGTTGGTGGAGTTGTTGGCGTAAAGAACAGTAGGAGAAACATTGAAGGAAGAAGCAACTTCTTGTTGTGTAATCATGGAATAAACACAACTAATACTGAGAAGAGGGTCAAAAAGAAGAATTTGAGTGCAAATGTTATGATATGTATCGTTCAATCCCTTGAGAAAGCAAGATACATACGCCATGTGTTTGTAACTGGGAGAGCCTTGGCCAAGTCACAAGAGCAGGTAACGACGCAAGAATAAAAGGGTGTTGGACGGAGATCCTCAAGTTCATCCCAGAGAATTTTCAAATCACTGAAATATTAGGAGAGGGAGTGATCACCTCGTTTGACGGAATGAAGGTCACGCAGAAGATCGAAGAAGCGGAAATGGTTTCCCTTAGTGAATATTTCGCGAAGGTCATCCCAAAGATCAAACGGTGAATCAAAACAGATGGTACTCTAAGAAATTTGTGGTGAAAGAGATCGATTGATCCATGAGAGCACCATGTTGTTAGCACGTTCCCATAAATCGAAATATTGGTGAGACATAATCGATCTAAAGAGTGTCATTAATAAAGCCAAGCTTGTACTTGGATGTTAGAGCTCGGCGCATTGATTTGTTCCAGTTATGATTGTTGTTGTCATCCAACGGCAGTGCCACTAAAACGACACTGAGGTTCTCCTAGGGATAAAGATAGTAAGGGTTGCGGTAATCCAAGATGGAATCTTAAGTGTCGATTTTAGAGGTTTTATTACTGGTGATGGAATCTTCATGATCGGAGCCAGCATCGAAAGCCATGGAGGTTTAAGAAGGGTTTGGAAACGATGATGAAGGTTCAAAACCCTACACTTGATGCCGTAATATAAGAATAACATGTGAAAAGTCCATTGACAAAAGAAAATCTTATTATCAAAATTTGTCTATTACAAGAGAACCAAGTGTCACATATATATATATATATATATATATATATATATATATATATATATATATATATATATATATATATATATATATATATATATATATATATATATATATATATATATATATATATATATATATATATATATATATATATATATATATATATATATATATATATATATATATATATATATATATATATATATATATATATATATATATATATATATATATATATATATATATATATATATATATATATATATATATATATATATATATATATATATATATATATATTTTGAAATATTCAAAATGTCTTATAATTTAGAATAGATGGAGTATCTTTTTTCTTTCAAGACACGGGTCTTTGTATTTCTTATTTAAACACCAAACATTTGAACTTATTAGTATAAAATTAAATTAGTAGACGTCTCAAAATATTATTACAATCTTATGCAAAAAGAAAGTCCAAAGAAAAAAGGACAAAGTTTAAGAATTCCCGGGTAATCGATCTAGTAAAGTATAACAAAAAGAAAGTGTAAACAGAAAGGACAAAAAGTTTAAGAATTGAGCCAAACAGCTTCTCAAGAAACACTACTAAATATATATCTCAGTAGAATGACTATAATGTTAGGCTTTCTGGGTTTTCAATGATTTTAGAGAATGTCTGAAGGAAGGCAGCCAGGTCAGCCCCATAAATTATTCGGTGATCAGCTGTTACATTCACCTGAAAAAGGAAGTAAAGAATCAATTAATTTGTTCTCGGGAAGTTAAAAAAAATGATTCCATATGGCTCATGCCAAAAACGTACAAAAGAGAACTATTTGAACCAGTATTTGACATGGTGCTTCTTATTTGAACCATTAATCATGAGCCAAATCCATCTATCATTCATGATATATGATGAGTACCAGATGAAGACAAGAAAAATGTTTTCTGCCCTTTTCCATTAAAGTGAGGCACCATGCATGTGAAGGTCATTAATTTATAAAATTTTAACAAAATAGTGAAACTGTGCATTTGCATTGGATAAGGAGTCACTGTTTCTAGCAGATTTTTGGTTGTGAAAACAAACACAGTTGTTGAATGCTTGCAAACACTTGCAAATCTTAAGACAAAAAAGTAACAAGGAAAGTCCTAAAGTCACTTTTATCAAAACAAATAAACAACAGCCACCACCAAGCCTTTCCCGACTTAGTAGAGTAGACTATATTGATCAATCGGTGTCATGTATTAGATCCAAAGATAAACTATTTACCACTAATGTCTCTTAAAACTTTGGTCTATGATTTCCTTGGTCTCCGTTTATCCCTATCTATTGGATTGTGCTTGATGTAATATACTTTTGCTACTGTTGTTTTTGTAATTCTTCTTCATAATCATTTATATCCAAACCACCTAAGACAGATTCTAGAAACCTCCCTATGGTGTAGATCATCCCAACTTTTTGTCAAATGATAGTATTTCTAATCCTATTTTACCTCACTTAAACAATCATGTTTCATAATATTCTCATCTCCGCGACACCAAGTTTATTTGTTAGCTTTTTACCAGCTATCATTCAGTTCCATACAAAACACGGCAAATCTTATTACTATGCGATAAATTTTTCTTCTTCTTTAAGCTTGAGTGGTATTTTGTATTGCCATCTTCCCTTATCTATCTGTTACTTTGTATGACAGCTGCGTGACTTGTATTAATGTTCACTTCCACGATAAAATTTGTTTAGCATTCCATGCAATCCTTTTTACTCTTAGGTGGGAATTGTCTCCAAGGCTCATTGACATATCTCTCATTTTCAATTATTTAATTTTTTGATTCTACAACTAAGATTATATCATCTACAAAAAAAAAAAAATCATGCTACAGCACTATGTATTTGATATGCCCAGTAAGTACTTCTACTATCCAGATCAAAAGCTACAAGGCAAAACGAAAATGAAACAAAAAAGATGTATTTCTCTATAATATCTACTAAAAGGGCACATTTATCAACTGACTATAAAGGAAATAATTGCACTCGAAATGATGGTTTGCAGACAATCCCAATTGTTGGTTTCTTGATTCACACCCGAAACACAACCTTAGAATTTGTTTCGGAGAATCAATTGTATGGATTTTTCAAAAGGAAAAAATAAAACGAAACAAAACACTAGAGAGAAAAGTTAGTTCAGAGGGTGCACTTATGGGTAGGTTTCCTCGGTGAATATCAGAATCCAGCAAATAATTTTTAAGTGATGAGAAAAAAGCATTATGGTGAATGTTTAAACAGGGTCAGTAAAATAACTCTGCAGAAAATACGTTCCTAAAGCATATCACCTTACAGATGTGATCTGATTTCTGCTATAGATTATCTCTTGAGAAAACTATACTCGTGGCACAACACCACCCGATATAACCTAGAGTTTAGGCTATGATCCTACAGCAGTTCACCCTTCTGAATATTATATTGCTAGTGTGACAAAACGCAAATGTATTCTAAGGTTTATGACTATGGAGCTATGACAGATGTTTTTGCTTATGTTAACCCGGGCTTTATCTATTGTTCTAAACATGAATGCATAAAAAGAAAGAAAAGTATATATTATATAACTCACCAGCATTTTATTTTTCACCCTGAAGAATCCATCTGCATCAGCCAGAACAGTAGGCTTTGATGCTCCGACAGCCATGATAGCCCCCTGAAAATAAATGAAAATGTTAAACCTCCAAAATAAGGTTCGAACTGCTTAGAAAATAAGGCAGATAATCTCTCAATTTAACAAATAAGGAAGATAATAAGTCAACATCCTTGAAACAATCACTAACCTGGCCTGGTGGAAGTATGGCATCAAACCTGTCAACTCCGAACATACCCAAATTGGAAAGCGTGAAAGTTCCTGCAGGTAACCGAGCACAATTAATATAGGGTTAAAACATTCAAGTAACATAGAAATCAAATTGCCAACAACAAATAAACGGACCTGAATTATACTCATGAGGTTGCAATTGCTTTGAACGAGCCTTTGCAACTAGTTCTTTCCATTTTTGGGACAACAGATACAAGTCCAACTACAAAACAACAAAACAATCAACCAATGAAGTCGAACAAAAAAACATAAAACAACAAACAGATTAAAATCCATACCTTATCAGCATCTTGAAGAACAGGGGTTATCAAACCACCATTGATTGCCACGGCAACAGCAACATTAATGTTACTGTTATAATGAAAGTTCTTGCCGTCTTTGCAGGTAGCATTGACAACTGGATGTTGAACAAGTGCCATGGCAGCAGCCTTGGCCAATATAGCAGTCATAGTAACACCCTTAGGTTTCACCTGAACATAAAAATTCAACATCACATTTCAAAACCCCAGCACGATAATACTCAATTTCAACCATACATCACCAAAATTTCAAAATCAAACAACTCCATTATCATCATCATCATATATCAAATTTCAAAATCAAACGCCATTAACATCATCATCATATATTAAATTTCAAATCAAACACTGCCAGTACCATCATCATCATATATCAAATTTCAAAATCAAACAATTTTAGTATCATCATCACCATCATCATCATATATCAAATTTCAAAATCAAACAATTCCAGTATCATCATCACCATCATCATCATATTTCAAATTTCATAAACAAACAATTCCAGTATCATCATCATCATATATCAAATTTCAAAATCAAACAATGCCAATATCATCATATTCATAACCATCATCATCGTATATCAAATTTCAAAATCAAACAATGCCAGTATCATCATAACCATCATCATCATCATATATCGAATTTCACAATCAAACAATGCCAGTATCATTATCATCATATATCAAATTTCAAATTTCAAATTTATACCTTCTCATATAATGCATCAAGAGCATCTGTGGTAACCGGATATCCAACACGGAACGTAGGCACAGATAAACTCTCCACCATATTCTTAGCTACAGCAGATTGCATAGTTGTAAAAGCAACATTACTCGAACCCGGTAAAGCAGCCGGTGCAGCAGAAGAAGAACCAGCTTTCGGCTTCTCCGACACCACCGGAGCAGAAGCTACCACAGAAGGTGCATTACTCTTCGACGGCACAATCCCCGCAGCAGCCTCCACATCAGCCGGAGTAATCCTACCAAACGGACCAGTCCCGTTTACTGAAGCAATGTCAATTTTATGCTGTTTGGCAAGCTTCTTCGCCTGAGGTGTGGCAGTAATTTTCTTCGGACCATCAGAAACAGCCTTAACCGGTGGCGGCGGAGGAGGAGAAGGAGACTGAGAAGAAGTCACCGGAGGAGTGTCCGATATTTCAGATGGAGGAGAGAAAGAAGAACCAGAACCGGATTTGACGGATTTCGCCTTAGCTTGAGCTTCAGCGATATCCTCAGCAGTTTCAGCGAGCAAACCAATCGGAGCACCAACCGGAGCAGTTTCGCCTTCGGATACAACAATAGCAGCAAGAATTCCATCATAGAAAGTTTCGACATCCATATCAGCTTTATCTGATTCAACAACAACAACACTATCACCTTTGGAGAGAGTGTCGCCTTCGGATTTGATCCACGAGACGATTTTACCCTCGGTCATAGTGGAACTGAGTGCCGGCATGAAGATTTCGCGGATCTTGGCTTGGATTTTGAAGGATGATGGACGGCGGCGAATGGAGGAGGAGCGGGGGAGGATGAGGGAGGAGAAAGGGAGAGAGGTTGAGGTGCGGAGAGATTGAGATGAAGAAGCCATTGAGATTATGGAAGTGGAATGTGCGTTCATTTTGTGGGACTGAGAGGAGATATGAAGAAGGGGGAGTTGAGAGGGGCGGAGACGACGAGGGAGACTGTCACTCTTTTTACTTCTCTAATGCTGGTTGTTCAACGACATTACCGATGCAAAGCTTTTGTTTATTTATTATGGCCGATGGATACAACTTAATAATATTCATGAGCTTGTTTTTTTTGGTTATAGACCTAGTTCTACACAATCATGTATTGGACCATGCTCATTTATCTAATTTTAAATTTTGAGTTCTAGATGAAAAATATAAATTTAGAGAAAGTTACCCCTATTAACAAAAATTATTGAATCTTCTCTAGGACATTGTCTTAATTCATGGGAAGTAGTTTCACTTATCACTCGCCACGATTTTATGTTAATATTTTTAAGATCCTTTAAATACAAATTCTATGTATGTTATATATTTTTATTCTCTTTTTTATTAAGACTTCAATTGGTTAGAGTTTTATATTCTCTTTATTAATTTATGGACAAATTTTACGTGGTTCGAGTCTTTAAAAAAATTAGATATCTATATAATTAATACTCAATCTCTTTTTGAGAGAATTTCACCATATTAAATTTTTTGGTGGACGAGTGAACAAACTCTTTTATATAATATAAACGATATATAATTGATTCTTCTTTGAGAGATTTTCACCATACTCAATTTTTTAGTAGGTGAACTTTATATGAACGGACTCATTTCAAGAGTGTAGAAGATGCATTCTCAATCTTTATCTGTTGAAATATTAAATTAAATTATATTAGATTTTATTAGATTTAATATTTAATATAATTCAAGTTATGTTAATCCAAGTCTAATTAGGGTTGTATATAAATAGTTATAGTGTGTATTATTATTTATACACTTGAATAATACAAATTCTTATTTCCTTTATTATTCTCTCTTTCTCTCCTCACTAAAAGTGTCTCACGCACTAACAAATTGGTATCCAGAGCTTCCGGTTATTGTTCTTGATCAAGTTTTCAAGAATTTCACGTCAGAGGTCGTTTTTTTAGGGCAAGTAAATCAACTGCTGCGAAGATGGCTAGTGATAAGGGCATTCCAAATTCTCTTCCAATGTTTGACGGTAAAAATTAGATCTGATGGAAAAAACAGATGCAATCTTTATTTGGCTTCCATGAAACCCTAGAAGTGGTTACCGACAAACACAAAAAAGCCCACAACAAAGTCAAGAAAAAAGATTGCAAGGCTGCTTATTACATTCAAACGGTTGTCGATGCTGCTAACTTCGATAGAATCTCTCATGTTGAAACAGCGAAGGAGGCATGAGATATTCTGGTAAAGTATTTCGAAGGAGGTGAGAAAGTCAAGGTTGTCAAATTACAAACCTTACGTCGACAATATGAGTTATTGCCGATGGGAGAAGATGAAAAAGTTGCAGAATATGTGTCAAAGGTTCAGAAACTCGTCCATCTCATAAAGGATTGTGGTGAAATCATTACTGATAAGATGATAGTTGAGAAGGTAATGAGAATGTTGACCTCTCACTTTGATCACGTTATCGTAGCTATTCAAGAATCCAACAATCTTGAAACCACTAAAGTGGAAGATTTGGTTGGTTCGTTGGAGGCGCATGAGATGAGGATTTTCGAAAGGAAAGGAGTTCAGGACTCGATACAGGCACTGCAAGCTCAATCATAGAAAAAGATGGTGGTTCCAACAAATTCAAAGACAAGTTCAACAAGACTCATGGCAAGAAGTCTTGGTCGAATTCCCATAAGAATAAGGTCGAAGATAGATCTTCTGAATCCTCGAAAAAGGGAGGAGGAAACTATCGAAAGGATAAAGAAGATAAGAAAGGTATGTAGTGTTATAACTGTGAAAAATGGGGACACTTGGCCAAGAATTGTTGGTACAGAAAAGACAAGGGATCAAAAAGCAAGGACGAATGAGCGAACCTTGCACGCCAAGATTCAGATGATTCTGAAGGTGGTATGATGGTTATGGTTGCAGTTGCAGATAACCATGTTGAATCTAATATCTGGTTTCTCGACTCAGGTTGCTCGAACCACATGACTGGTCGAAAGGAGTGGTTGGCAGATTTTGACGAGTCGAAGAAGAGCAAGGTAAAACTTGTTGATAATAGTTCATTGCAAGCAGAAGGTACTGGCAACATAGTCTTTCAAATGAGTAATGGAGGGAAAGTTATGATCAAAGATGTGCTCTATATACCTGGAATGAAATGCAACTTGTTAAGTGTTGGACAACTAGTTGAAAAAGGTTTCTCAATTGTCATGAAAGATGGAGTTTTGAAAATGTTCGACACTAAGAATAATTTGGTTTTACAATCTCCATTGTCGAAGAACAGGACATTTAAGACTATGATCAGTTCGACAGAAGTTTAATGTTTGAAAACTGTTGTCGACCACAAGGATAGTTGGTTGTGGCATTTGAGGTTTGGACATTTGAATTTTCGATCACTTAATCAACTGATTACTCAAGATATGGTTACTGGTATTCCAAGTCTTGAGATGCCTGAAAAACTTTATGAAGGTTGTTTAGTGGGAAAACAATCCAGAAATTCTTTCATTTCGACTATGTCAATGAGATCATCCTGCATTCTCGAAGTGGTGCATTCAGATGTATGTGGTCCATTTGAAGAACATATAATTGGTGGAAATAGATATTTTGTTTCCTTTATCGATGAGTTTAGTCAAAAGTTGTGGATCTATGTGATCAAACGAAAGGACGGAGTATTCGAAATCTTTAAGAGATTCAAGATACTTGTCGAAAACCAGAGTCAGAAGAAGATCAAAGTTCTACAAACAGATGGAGGTGGCGAATACACATCCAAGATGTTTGAAGATTTCTGTGCAGAACATGGTGTTGATCATGAGGTAACTGCTCCTTACACACCTCAACATAATGGAATTGTTGAAAGAAGAAATAGAACCATATTAGATATGGCAAGATGCATACTGAAGCAAAAGAATTTGCCAAAATCTTATGAGGAGGAGTTGTTTCGACTGCAGTTTATATTTTGAATAGGTGTCCTACTAAGATATTAAAGAACAAGGTTCCTGAAGAAGTGTGGAGTGGCAAACGACCATTAGTAAGTCACTTGAAGGTGTTTGGCTCTATGTGTTACAAGCATGTTCCCGATGCAAGGAGAAGGAAGCTTGATGACAAGAGTGAACCTAAGATTCTGGTAGGATATCATAAAACTGGTGCATACAGACTATTCAATCCAGTTAAAGAAAAGATTATGTTGAGTTGAGATATTGTGATTAATGAAAATTCTGCCTGGGATTGGAATTCTAGCAATTCAATTAACAAATCATTAATGAACTTTGATTTCGAAGAAGAAACTAATAAAGTAGAGGTCGGAGGAATTATTGAGAATCCAGTCGAAGTCGAAGAGGAAGCGGTTGCTGACACTCCCGTCACAGTCGAAGTCGAAGAGGTTGTGGCTGAAACAAGCCTAAGACCTCAAAGAAATAGAGTTCTTCCAACAAGACTTCATGATTATGAAGTGATGGGTGATGATGAAATCACACCAGATGAAGAATTAGTTCATTTTGCTTTACTTGCAGGTGCTGAACCAATCAACTATAGAGAAGCTTTGAAGATTAACAAGTGGAAGTTAGCTATGGTTGAAGAGTTACAGGCAATCGAAAGAAACAACACATGGGAGTTAGTCGAATAGCCAACACATACAAAAGCTATCGAAGTAAAGTGGGTGTTCAAGTTGAAACACAATGCAGATGGGTCAATAGAAAGACATAAAGCAAGATTAGTAGCTCGAGGTTTTCTTCAAAGAGCAGGACTTGACTACTCTGAAGTATTTTCTCCAGTAGCAAGATTAGAGACTTTTCGACTAGTAGTAGCATTGGCATGCAACCAAGGTTGGTCAACATTTCATCTAGATGTGAAATCAACATTTTTGAATGGTCCTTTAGACGAAGAAGTTTATGTCACACAGCCTCCTGGGTTTGTGATTCAGAAGGAAGCAACTAAAGTATATAGATTGCATAAAGAGCTCTATGGCCTCAAGCAGGCACCTAGGGCATGGAACAAGAAGATCGACTCATACTTAGTCAAATTAGGATTTGTCAAATGCAAATCAGAGTATGGTGTCTATGTTCAGGCTGTAGCACAAGATATAACAATCATCTTCTTGTATGTTGATGACTTGCTAGTAATTGGAAATAGTTTGGAGAACTTGTCGAAGTTCAAAGAGCTGATGACGAAGGAATTTGAAATGTCGGATCTAGGAAAATTGTCTTATTTTCTAGGCATGTAATTTCAAATGTCGAAGAAAGGTATGGTGCTACATCAAAGAAAGTATGTCAAAGAAATACTCAAGAGATTCAGAATGGATGATTCGAATCCTGCATCCTCACCTGTCGAACCAAATGTGAAGTTGGAAAAGAATGGAGAGGAAGATAAAGTCGATGCAACTTTGTTCAAGCAAATTGTGGGATCTCTGAGGTATGTGTGCAATAGTCGACCTGATATAGGTTTCACAGTCGGATTAGTAAGCAGATATATGGGTGAACCAAGAGTGTCACATATGAAGGCTGCAAGAAGAATCCTTTGATATTTGAAGGGTTCAATAAATTATGGAATACTATTTCGACGAGATTCTGAAGGCAAAGAAGCAATATTTAATTGTTTTTCAGATGTTGATTGGTGTGGAGATAAGGAAGATCGAAGAAGCAAGCCTGTATATTTCTTTCAAGTATTTGATGCCTCAATCTCATGGTGTTCGAAGAAGCAATCTGTGGTGGCATTGTCATCGTATGAAGCTGAATATATAGTGGGATCCTATGCTGCATGTCTAGAAATTTGGATCAGATATGTACTTGAAAAAATGATTGTCGAAGTGAAGAAACCTCTAGTATTGCAAATCGACAACAAGCCAGCCATAAATTTGGCGAAAAATCCAGTTCTGCATGGAAGAAGTAAACATATTGAAGCAAGGTTTCACTTCTTGAGGGAAAAATTAAATCAAGGTGAACTTGAAGTTAGG